GGTGGCGGTCTGGCGGGTCTTTCGGCGGCGCACTCCATCTACCTCGCCGGTGGTAACGTCCACGTCCTCGACAAGCAGGGCTTTTTCGGTGGTAACTCCACCAAGGCCACCTCTGGCATCAACGGTGCCCTCACCCGCACCCAGGTTGATCTTGGGATCAAGGACTCCGTGAAGCAGTTCTACGACGACACACTCAAGTCTGCCCGTGACAAGGCCAGACCCGACCTTATCAAGGTCCTCACTTACAAGTCCGCTGCTGCCGTTGAGTGGCTCCAGGATGTCTTCAACCTTGACCTCACACTCGTTTCCCGTCTTGGGTAAGTGGCAACTACTTTCCGGCATTTCCGGTAGTTAGACAGCCTTGCTAACATGCTGTGATCAGTGGTCACTCTCAGCCCCGTACCCACCGTGGTCACGATGCCAAGTTTCCCGGCATGGCCATCACATACGCTCTGATGCAGAGACTCGAGGAGCTCGCCGAGACCGAGCCCCACCGTGTCAAGATCACCAAGAAGGCCCGCGTTGTTGACCTCATCAAGGAGGGCAACGTCATCAGCGGTGTCAAGGCTGAGCACGAGGGCCAGACCCTCACCATCCACGGCCCCGTCGTCCTCGCTACCGGTGGTTATGCCGCCGATTTCGGTGAGGGCTCGCTCCTCCAGAAGCACAGACCCGACACCATGGGTCTTGCCACCACCAACGGCTCCCACGCTACCGGTGATGGTCAGAAGCTCGTCATGAAGATTGGCGGCAACGGCATCGACATGGACAAGGTTCAGGTCCACCCTACTGGTCTCGTCGACCCCAAGGACCCCGGCTCCAAGTGGAAGTTCTTGGCTGCTGAGGCTCTCCGTGGTGAGGGTGGTATCCTTCTCAACGGTGATGGTGACCGCTTCTGCGACGAGCTCGGCCACCGTGACTACGTCTCTGGCATGATCCACAAGGAGAAGGACAAGGGCAAGTACCCCGTCCGCCTTGTCCTCAACTCCAAGGCCTCCAAGGTCCTTGACTTCCACACTCGCCACTACTCTGGCCGTGGTCTCATGAAGAAGATCACCGGCAAGGAGCTCGCCAAGGAGATCGGCTGCACTCCCGAGCACCTCCAGAAGACCTTCCAGACCTACAACGCCATTGCCGAGGGCAAGCAGAAGGATCCTTGGGGCAAGAAGTTCTTCCACAACATGCCCCTCGACATCAACGATGACTTCCACGTCTCCCTGATGGAGCCCGTTCTCCACTTCACCATGGGTGGTATCGAGATCAACGACAAGGCCCAGGTTCTCAACAAGGAGGGCAAGCCCTTCGAGGGTCTCTTCGCCTGCGGTGAGCTTGCCGGTGGTGTCCACGGTGCCAACCGTCTTGGTGGTTCTTCCCTCCTTGGATGCGTCGTCTACGGCCGTGTTGCCGGTGACTCTGCTGCCAACTACCACTTCCAGCAGGCTCTCAAGGGCAATGTTGGCGCTGCCCGTCTCGGCCAGATCGCCCTCCACATCGATCCTTCCACTCCCGGCAAGATCTCGGTCCAGTGGGGTGGTGAGCAGGCTGCTCTCCCTGCTCCCGGTGCTCAGACTGGTGCCCCTGCCGAGAAGGCTGCTGCTGCCCCCGCCAAGGCCGACACCAAGGCTTTCACCATCCCCGACAAGGAGTTCACTCTTGAGGAGGTTGCCAAGCACAACAAGAAGGAGGATCTCTGGGTTGTTGTCAAGGGTGTCGTCATGGACCTCACCAACTGGCTCGATGACCACCCCGGTGGTCCCCAGGCTATCCTCAACTTCATGGGCCGCGATGCCACCGAGGAGTTCGAGATGCTCCACGACGACGAGGTCATTCCCAAGTATGCTCCTGGCCAAGTGATCGGTAGAGTCAAGGGCCAGAAGGTCACTCTTGAGATCTAAGTCACTTGAGCGATTTCACTAACTGTGTTCTTTTTATTTTACCCGCATTTGCACGGCGCTCCTTGGGAATTGCAGCAAAGAGTTTCATGGACGGGGCTGGGCCGAGCCAAGAGAAGCGACGCCGATTAGGAAGCCCTGGCTAGGAAGAATAGATGTACCATTGTTTTAGTGGCGGTCATTTTTCTTGCTGCGAGGAGGAGCAAAGCATAACTCATACCAGCTTGATCTATTTGGTTATTGTTTTGTATTTTGGATTTTTTGGATCAAGTTCGCTGGTTTGTTGAGAGCAGGAACAACATGACTGCTACTGTATTGATAGCTTGGAATGATGCTGTTCCTTGAAAACTAGTAATGAGAAGATGAGATCACACCAATCATTGGACCAATTGCCCAAAAGTGAAACTCTTAGCTCTGAATCATCCGAGGGAAGTTGATGCAGCGCCGTGCCGCGGAGCTGATCTGCTCGGGGGACCATTTCCGGGCCGAGGCCGGCTCCGGACCGGTTTAGGCGGCCGGCATAGGGCACCGGATATCAGCCGGAAGTGGAAGGGAGACTTGGACCCTTTTTCTCATGTTTTTTAGTCTTTCGCATCAACGGAATTTGTAGTGCCCGGGCCGAATGGATTGAAGTGTTTTGCATAATGGAAACCTGGAAATCACGTAAACGATGTCTTAAATCGAGTGTCAAAGAGCATGTCTTTTCGGTATACAACCCTAACCCTAGGGATTCCGCAGCTGACCTCAGCTGATCATCGTTGGGCCACTCCGGCCCGCCTCCCCAGCCTGCAAAGTGCCGTCAGTTTGCTGCCGCCTGCAACCTAGCTCAGCAACCACCCGCATCAAGAGCTTGACGCGCACGCTTTCAGAATCAACAAAACTTCCTCTCCCACCGCAAATCCAGCTTCTTCTGCTACCAGCTTCACACAGGCCGTCCGCGACGCTGTCTATATACTACCATCTTTCATCGAAACCACCTACGCAACCCCACCTGTTGTTGGTTTCCAAGGTGTCCCTTGCGAGCGGCACCTTGCTTGTGATGCAATCATAGCTCCTGTCCCCCCCGAACTCGAAGCTCTCCACGTTGCGATAGCGTCTTTTGCACCTACAGACACCGTCAGGGGTGGATAGTGGTTCAAGATGGCTTGGAACGTATGTCACGCCAGATACCTCAATCAATCACAAGGATTGATCAGACAAAGCTCACAACCAGCTAGATCTTCAGAATAGCGGCCGACCTGTCGCACATAACAGCAAAATGCATCCTCATCTTCTCCATCCACCGTAACAGGAGCGCCGAAGGTTAGTTTTCTTCCCCTTCTCCCTTCCCCCCCCTTTCCCAACCATCTCTAACCCTTTTTGTGTCTCAGGCGTCTCCCTCCTTACCCAGCTCTTCTACGCTCTCGTCTTCGTAACCCGCTACACGGACCTCTTCGTCGAAACCCACGCCTGGAACTACTTCTTCAAAGTCTTTTACCTCCTCTCCTCCTTCTACACCCTCGGCATCATGCGCTTCGTCTACCCCCGCACGCGCGAAAAGGAAATCGCCTGGAAGCTCGCCGGCCTCGTCTTTTCCGGATCCCTCGTCCTCTCCCCCTTCTTTATGCTCATCTTTGATAAGCAACGAGAGTGGGCTTTTACAGAATGGCTTTGGGTGTTCTCTCAGATCTTGGAGTCAGTCTGCGTTTTGCCGCAGCTGTTGCTGCTGCGGCAGACGACCGTCCCGACGGTGATTACCAGTTTTTACATTGTGTTCTTGGGGAGCTACAGGGGGTTGTATCTGCTGAACTGGTTCCTCAGGGAGCTGGACACGAATGGGCGGAAGCCGAACCCGATCAGTGTCATTTTTGGGATTGTCCAGACGGCGCTGTATGCGGATTTTGCGTGGGTGTACTGGACGAGGCAGAGGGTCAAGCTGAGGAATGGGGGGGTGGTGGATGCGGATGATTTGAGGAGGGGGTGGTTGTTGAGTAAGATTTTTGGGAGCGAGCACCTGAGGGGTGGGAGCAACGCGGCGGATGAGGATGAGTATGATGAGGAGAGCGCGCCTGCGCTTGGACCGGGGAGGCATGAGGTTGGGCGGGATGCCAGGCCGGGGAGGGCAAAGTGGGGGAGTAGGGGGATTAGTATTAGTGCTGATGAGGGGGTTTATGATGGGGAGAGTGGTGGGTCGAGGCAGGAGCAGGGTGTGACGAGTAGCAATAGTAGGGGAGGTTTTGCGGATGAGTCGGATGATGATTTGGCTGGGGGGGCGGATCCGGATGCGAAGATGCAGGATCCGGATGATTTGGCAAGGGCGTTGAATGATGATGAGAGTGAGAGTAATGAGGAGGATAAGAAGAAGAAACAGAAGGCGGCTCAGCAGAACGGAGGGCAGCCAAGCGGGATTAGGAATGGGGATGAGTGGGATGATGATTGATTTCTCGTCTGAGATAGGTTGGAAGGTTAGGGAATTGACAAGGAAGGAATGAATCGAAGGAGGGAAAGGAAGGATATGGCATTTGGTTCTATATTACCTACTACAGGCCGGAAAATCACTGTTCATCTTGGAGGGGCCTGTGTTTCGGGCGTTAATGGAGTTTTTTTTTGGTTTAGTCAAACTTCTTGTGGGTTTGTTTCAGAGTCTTCTGAGAGGACAGCGTGGTGGGATACAACAACTAAGCGGAGTAAATAGGGGTAGATAGCAATTTTGCTTCATGTCTACCACACAGACACATACACGCACACACATGCACCACAACTGACCACATAAAATTGTGATTTGACAATCCTAATTATGTAGCAACCCAGACAGACATATAACTCGATGCTGCGAGCCAAACCCAACTTACGAGACCAGACCTCTTCCAAAGCAAAACACCGTGAACCTTGATTGTAAACGCATACACTTTGCTCCCGTCCCCCTTTCCCATACAAACTACTCATCATCCCTCAACCGACTAACATTCCCCCCCGTCCTCTCCAAACTCCCCCTCAACAACCCCAACACATTCTTCCTCCTCCTCTCCCTCTCCCTCAGCACCTTCTTCTCCTCCTCACTAAACTGACTCAACTTCTTCCTCGGACTAGGCCCCGCCCCACCACCGCCGCCAGGTCCAACACTTCCCATCCTAACCGACGCCCCAAAAGGCGACTCCCCCCTGCCGGGGCTCATCAACAACGACCTCCTATTATTCGGCGTCGGCGTGGCCGGCCCTCCTCCACCAACAAACGGACTCCCCTCCCTGCTCCTCGCCGGAGTCCCCAACCTCAACCTCCTCATCTGGTTCTCCAAAACATCAATATCCCCGCTCCTCTTCTCCGCCATGCTGGTCATCTTTTGAATCGTTCTCAAGATGGCATCCACCGTAGGAACAGGTGCTCTACCGCTCGCACCCCCTGCAGAAGCAATCTTTGCCTTGAGCAGCGTCAATGCCTCTTCTGCTCCCGCCAACAGCCCCGAAAACGTCGCGAAGGATCGTCTGAGCTCATTCTGCTGCGCGGCCTGCTCCGCACTAAGAGGTAAAGATTTGGCAACATTCACCTGGTCGGGATCGACATGCGCCATGATGATCTTGCGCATGTCTTCTTCTTTGGCGCGGAGCTTGGTCAGGTCCCGCATCAGGCCAGAAATCTCATCTTCGACGCGGTCAATCTCTTGAATGCGGCCCTCTTCCAGGCGACGGGAGAGTTGGCTGTCGATTATTTTACCGAGATCTTCAGCTTCGACAAGGACCCAGTCATCGGGGTGTTCGAGATCGTCCTGGTCGTGGCCGTCCTCCTTGCGGAGGGTGGTATGGCCGAGGATGAAAGACTGGAGCGCTCGGGAGTTGAGGCCCAGGCGATCAATCATGCGGTTGATATCCCGCCAGAGAGCCTCGCACGCAGCTGGGATCTCGTTCTCTCCGCGCTTCTCAATTTCCTTGAGCCTTGTGTCCGTCGCCAAGAACTCGTCAATCTGCAGAGTGGGCTCAATTTTGGAGCGGAGAAGTTGCTGGATGCCCTCGTCTTCCGGATCTACGAGGGCTTGCTTGGCTTCTTCTTCTCGCTTGGCCGCGAGCCTCATCTGGGCTTTGATGTTAGGGTCGACCTCCTGTGGCCGCGCCCGGCTAGCTGGAGCAGAACCGAACGGGCTGGTAGCCGGGGGTGCTGAGCGACGTCCCAAGAGATCCGACGCAACACCTGGCGCAAAGGACCGAGGAGTGTCGGGGGGACCAGGCCGAAGAAGGCTCGCCCGAGGTGGACCTCGCATCGGACTCGGCGATCGAGGGCTTGTCGGCACCGGCTTGGGGAACGACGGGGCGTTCCTCGTGTTGATCTCGCCAAAGAGCGGGCGACCTTGGTTGGCCTCGGATCTTGAAATGGTCGAGAACGCACTTCCAGTCATGCCACCATCAAAAGACCCATGGGGAGTGATGCCAGGAGTGTGACTCTCAAAACCGCCAGCTGTCGGGCTGAACTCCTTAGTCACATCAACGCCGCTGCCTTCCGATTCTTCCTCATCGTACTCTTCCTCTTCTTCATCAACCTCACCTTCCTCAAGTTCGTGAGTCTGATCTTCCACGTCACATTCTGATAGTTCACTCTCGTCGGGGCTTTCTGGCACAGCAGGGACATCCGGAAGTTTGGTGGCGGGCTTGCCGATAAAGTCAGGCGGCAAGGGGGCCTCCTCAGGGGTAGGTGGTTTGGCATCGTAGACCTCAGGCTTCGGTTTGCTCGAAAGCAGGTTGGGGGGCATCCGCCCAGTATCGCTTTCACTGAATCCTGGTGACTTAGATGTTTCCTTCGAGGGGGGGCCTGGTTTCATGAAATCCGGAGGGAGTGGCGCCTCCTCTGCTTTCACAGGAGCTTTGGTATCTGCTTCTTGTGAGTTGTTTGATCCTGAAGATGAAGAGCTAAAAGAGAAGTCGGCCTTACTAGTTGCATCCGGCGGCAGAGGGGCCGCCGGAACACTCTTAACATTCTCTTTATCACTTTCCTCTTGCTTGATCTTTGGTGCTCCGAAAGGATTTTCCGCAGGTTTTGGTGACCCAAATACATTTGCCGCGGCAGGTTTCGGTGCGCCAAAAGGATTAGCAGCAGGCTTCGGTTGACCAAAGAGGTCAGTTTCCGGCTTTGGCTTAAAAAGCCCCGACGAAGCAGGTCCTGGAGTTCCAAAGATACTAGATGTGGGAGCCGAGGCCTTCGGGGCAAATAGGGTCGTTTTGGCAGCTTCGGCGCCAGCAGTTTGGAAGCCGAACTTCGAGGGGGCCGGTGTCGATGTTGGCGTAGTAGATCCGAGGTCACCAAATACAGACTTGGGCTTCTCCTCGGGCGCTGGCGTTACTCTATCCATATCCTCATCCTTGGAAGCTGGGGCTTCCAAGGCAGAGCTGAACCCACTTCCAAACATGGAGCTGCCTTCTGGCTTTTTAGTTTCAAAGGCACTAGCAGCACTTGAGGTATCAGCCTTGAATGTACTTCCCAATACAAAAGGAGAAGCCCCAAAAGCGGGTCTGTCCGTCTTCGCAGCCGGCGGAGGGAATGCTGTAGGTGTATCCATTGAGACTTCAGGGGCGGGGGCAGAGCCAGCAGGCTTTGATCCGAAGATGCTGGATCCGGAAGAAGCACCGCCCAGAGACCCAAAGCCACCCTTACTGGCAAAACTGGCAAAACCACCAGCTGGTGGAGCAGCACCGCTACCGAACACCTTACCGGCGGCGGCTGCCGAGCTGCCTAAACCTGACTGTCCAAAGGCAGGTGCTGCAGAAGCAGTTGTTCCCGTGGCCCATGGAGAAGGCTTAGCCGACCCCAATCCTAGTGAACTCTGGCCGAACGCAGGGGCCGATGGCTGGCCAAAAGCAGGGGCACCAAACGCAGGTACAGCAGCAGCTGGTTTACTACCGAACGCGCTGGAACCAAACGCTGGGGCAGCAGATGTACCTGATGCGGTAGCCCAGGGTGAAGCCTTGGCTCCCAAAGCAGAGGAACCACCGAATGCCGCGGGAGAGGACGGTGTCCCGAAAGCTGGAGCAGGAGAGGGTTTGCCAAAGGCAGAGACTCCAGGGCTGGCAAGGGCAGGGGACCCAAAAGCAGAAGCTCCAGAGCTAGCAACGGCAGGAGACCCAAAGGCAGAGACGCCAGAGCTAGCTGGGGCCGCTGGTGTGATTGCCTGAGCGGCAGACCCTCCTACGATGCCCGGATACGTTGTCCCGGCCCGAATAGATTCGTTATAGACAACCCACCAGGACACAAGCACGCCTTCATTATTGAGCACCCACAGGCCAGGGAGAGGCCCGGGAGAGTTCTCGATTTCGTCCGTCGGGATGGGCTTGTAAACCTTTTCCTTGCTGGACAGGTCGAGCGTCGCTCCGATAGGAAACGTATCGGTCAGGTCCTCGCCCATAGGGAGCTGAGCACGCTTAGAATCGTCAGCAAACTCAGTTGTTGTGAACACATTTGTGATCTTGTCCGCATCCTTGTCCTGTGTCAAGGGGGTCTTGGAGCGTGTCAATAAACCAATGCCTTCATTGGCCGTTGACGCAACCAGCAAACACTCGTCGAGATTTGGGGGGAAATCCTTCAGCCTGAGGATAGTGTGGTGTGGTGTCTTGTCGGCCACAAAAGGCTCTACCGGGTCAGTGATCTTCTGATAGGTGAACGTAGGTGTTCCTCCTGGTGGTTGATGGCGGGTGATTAGGTTGAAAACAGATGGATCTTGACCATTTGTCTGGTTGTAAACAGCAAGGAACACGTGGTTCTCAATCCAGGCCAACGAGGCAACATGGTAATCTCCAACACTGGGGGACTTTGGAATATGTGCCTTTTCCACACTTCGGGTGTCATTTGGTAGATGGAGCCGTCAGCTACACCAGCAACCAGCTGTTTTCCCTTGGTGCTCCATGAGACACAGCTGACTTGCGAACGAAGTACTGGCCCATTCGCGCCCGATACAAGCTTCTTCTCCGCAAGGTTCGCCATCAAGAGGTTGCCTTTGTCCGTCACGATGGCGACGAAGTGCGAGAGATCCGGTGAAGGATTTGGAACCAGAGCCCTGAGAGATTCCGAATTTGTAGGTATTTCGAAGGCGGATTGCGTGCCGCCTTGTGTAAGCGTGTCGGTATTGTAGACAGCAAGACCACCGCCCGACTCGGCGGAAAGAATGAGGAATTGTTCATCCACGGTGAAGGCTAACTGTGAGATCCTGATGCCAAGCGGCACCTTGGCCTGGGGTGTGAACGGTCGGACGTCGCTATCGCCATTCTTAGGGCCCTCGAACGCTTTCCGTACAGACTCGGTTGTGGCGATGTGTACCGCATCTGGGCTGGCCGCAGCAACCAGACCCTTTCGAGGGGCAATGCTAAGAAGGGATGCCGTTGGGGCTGGAGCAGGCTGCCATTTTGAGGTCAACTGAACCTTTGAATCGCCGGCGAGAGAGAGAAATCCAAGACCCTGTATATACAAATTAACACTCCACTCTGGTGTGAGCTCAACCACCTGTCACCGTGCACCTATCTCACCTCTGTCTGGATAACCTCGAGATCGCTTCCTTGCGACAACCCCCCCACCCCGCCAGCGGAAGGTGCGCCCATCATGGCATTGCTCGCGTTTCCAAAACCGAAAGCCATAGCTGTAGCTGCGATGCGGCCGGCCTTAGACAGCGGACCTGAGCTCAGAGTCTAGCGTGATTCATCAGCGGGCAAGGTGTCCCGGGGCTCGAGAGCGAATCCAGCCAAAGCGGTATCGCGATCGGGCAGCGAGTCCGAGAAGTCGTCGAGCAAAAGGGATTGGAAGTATTGAAATAGCAATAGTTTGCGCGTGTCCCCCTAATTATGGGTGTCGTTTCGATCGGGAATAGTTGTTGGTTGGCAGTAACAATGTTGCCAGGAGGGGGTTGGGACTGCAGTTTCTTTGTGCAAGTTGAAAGTCAACACCAGCTCAAAGAAATGGTGAACGACGCGCCAATGAGCGATTGACCCACGATTTTTCTGCCTGCCATGCCAACCCGAGAGCACATCCCTGTCACTCAAGAGTGCCTTCCCCCTCTTGGTTAGCGCTTGTCACGTGTGGGGAGAGCTTGGGCCAGCCTCCAGGTCCCGCTGTGGAGTCAGGCAGCACCCTGTAGCGCGCGTCAGTCCAAGCTTGACGACCACTGTATCGCCCGCCTGAACGCCCGCCAACATCCTGCTCGGGAAAGCTGCGGTAGCAACCTTCTACAGCTTCAAGACACCATCATCCACGACTGAGACAGCTACAGGCCCAGACGTCTGACCATATCAAGTCACCCGTAGCATCCTCGCTCCACAATCCCGCATTCAAGAGTTGCGGCTGCCAGCCAAGGCGTTACGATCCCATCTTTGTCATCAGCCCTTCAACGGCCTCGATCAAGAGCCCCCTTCCCACGAACATACCCCCACAGCCGAGCTTGGACACTTAGAACCGACGATATTCAACCACAAACCAACCACACACCATGCCTGGTTTTGATTTCTCAAATTACAACCGCAATGCGGCTCTCCACGCCCGCGGCGTGCCCCTCCCCAAGGCGACCAGCACAGGTACCACCATTGTGGGATGTATATATGATGGTGGTGTAGTGGTATGCTGCCCCCCCCCCTCGAATTTAACCCCCATCCCATAATATCTAACCCTCTCCGCTCCAGATCGCCGCCGATACCCGTGCCACCTCAGGCCCCATTGTCGCCGACAAGAACTGCGAAAAGCTCCATTACATCTCCCCCAACATCTGGTGCGCCGGTGCCGGTACCGCCGCCGACACCGAGTTCACCACCGCCCTCATCTCCTCCCAGCTCGAGCTCCATTCCCTCTCCACCGGCCGCAAGCCCCGCGTGGTAACCGTCATGACCATGCTCAAGCAGCACCTCTTCCGCTACCAAGGGCACATCGGCGCCTACCTCGTCGTCGCCGGCGTCGACCCCACTGGCACCCACCTCTTCACCGTCCACGCCCACGGCTCCACCGACAAGCTGCCCTACGTGACCATGGGTTCCGGCTCCCTCGCCGCCATGTCCGTCTTTGAGACGCAGTGGAAGGCCAAGCTGACCCAGGACGAGGCTGTGAAGCTCTGCGCGGATGCTATCGAGGCTGGTATCTGGAACGATTTGGGTTCTGGTAGCAACGTGGATGTGGCAATCATCACGCCGGAGAAGACAATTCTCAAGAGGAACTACATCAAGCCAAACGAGAGGACGCAGAAGCTCAAGAGCTATGTGTTCCCAACGGGTACCACGGCGGTGCTGAACGAGAAGATCACGATCAGGAAGCAGGATATTGGGAACTTTGTCAGTATCACGGACTTGACGGAGGCGGAGGCTGGCGATAAGATGGAGGTTGACACATAGGTGCTGGGATGAGGCGTGGGTCATGTGATATTAGTATTGATGTGATGAAATTGAGAGCAGGCGTGGGCAAAGAACTAATAGAGCTCAAGTCGAATCATTAATTTCGGACGTATTTGGTGTGCTATATCGATATTGTCGGTCAAACCGTGCCCTGAAAGATAATGAAATCGATAGGCCTTAATAAATAGTTGATAGGTCTTGATAGATTGTTAAAAGGCCTCTTAACATAGTGAAAAGGCCTTGAAAGACAGTTCAAAGGCGTGCTAATCATATTTCAAGCTCTTGATACTGAGGTGGATATCATACTCAAATCCACACATGAATCACCAGAAAGTCAAGATCTTCCAGAAATCTTCGATCCTGTCAAACCCCCAGGGTCTTTACGAGGTCCGTCTCATCTCCCACCTCCCTCGCTTCCACCCCACCTCTGGATAAGTATCTTACCTAACACCACCTTCAACTAAATAGGTAACATACATAGCTCGCAGATATCTACAAAAAGCTTTCTTGCTGATCAACAACAACAACAGCAGCAGCAAATATATCTACACAACAACGACAACAACAACAACAACGACAACAACAACAACAACAACAACAACAACAACAACAACAACAACAACCAAACCAACCATCGAGAAAAACTACGATTAGATTTTTAAAAACTTCCCACCGGCCCTCCCCCCCCCTCCTCCCATCTTTGCCCTCCTACTCTTCACTCCTCGCTAAATCCAGTCCCCCCTCTTTCTCTGCCCACCAAAAAAAGAAGAAAAAACCCCAAGCATAATACCAAACCAAAATAGATAACCTTGAAAAGAAGAAACCAAACAAACACAAAAAAAAAGTACAAAAGAAGATCCTCTCAATATCCGACTTTTGGAGATCAACAGGAAGAAAATTGAAAAGAAAACGAATCCCTAGAAAAGCCCCCCTTACCCATCACACCTTGCTCTTTTTGCACCTGCCCACCGCAACGAATTTGTAAAAGGAAAAAATGCAACGCCCACAATATGTTGCAAGTTTCCCCTATAACAAAACACACAAAAAAGAAAAAAAAAACTCCACAAAAAGCAAAAAAGTAACAAAAAAGGCTGATGGGGGTATGAGTGATGATGATGACGATAGATGATGACTGAAAAAAAACTGTCTAACAAAGAAAAAAAAAACCCCCAAGAAAAATGCAAAGTGTTGAGACAAAGATGCCGTCCTTTATAGGTAGGGGAGTTGTCGTTGGTCGGCGGGTTATGCTGGTTTGAAGAGTAATGTTTGTTGGCATGGCATGGCGAGCAAAGAGATCAATGCGTCTTTCTGCTAAAGATGCTCTTTCTAGATTTCGACTTTGCCCGGTCCTTCTTGTCCTTTTCAGGGTCGTCGGCATATTTTGGCTTGTGAATCCTGTGCCAATGTTAAAAGATTTTCTTGCCAGAGAATACATGACAGAAACATACCAGCTATTGCCCACCATGCTCATTCCCTTCGACTCGGCCTCCCGATAGAGTTTGGCGCTCTTTTTCAGGTTCTTCTTGCAGCCAATGCCTTGAGCATAGCAGAACCCGGCCTCCGCAAGCGCATCGACATCTCCCCAAGCTACACGGATATCTGTCAGCACCGAATACCGAATCATTGTAGTAAGGAAGAATCATACCTCCAGCAGTTTCAAAACACTTCAACGCCAACACCTTATCCTGCTCAATCCCCCACCCGTTCATATGACTGACACCCAGTTCATATATACTGAGCGCCAACTGAGCACGGTGTGTCTTCCGCTCGTTCACATCCACATGCTTGCCCTCCTTGGCATGCTCCTCGTCCTCCTTGATTTCCAGATTCGCCGAATCCATGGCTTTCCGAAGCCACTCCACTCCCTCACGAGGGTTCGGTCGCATGCCCCAGCCGTGACGACAAGCCAAAGCATATAGCAGCATGCCAGTAGGGTGACCCTGCTTGGCTGCGTGCCGTAAATGCCACGCTGACTCTGGCAGCGAACCTTCCTGGTGAAGAGCAATGGCCTTGTTAACGTGTTCTTCCGCAGTGAGATCGGCCATCGTTGGTGGGTTAGCCGGTGTGGCAGGTCCAGGCTTGATTGTGCTTGCCGAATCGCTTGTGTTGTTCGACATTATCGATCTCCCCGCAGCAGCATCGTGTAGATGGGCAAAGGGAGCACGGCCTCGTTGCGACTCTCCAGACACACGGGCACTCTCTGTCGATGGTCTGCCCAGAGGTGGGAATGGCTCTGGTCCCGATCTAAAAATCTCAGTGCTGAGCTTACTACGCTCGTGTGACGGCCGAGTGTTGGCTTCAGGAGGATTCGGTGGCCCGGTTGAACTTGTTGGCCTGCTTGCCGGCCTGCTAGGTGGGGATGGTGGTGGTTGTCCATGGTTTTCGACAGGATGTTCCCATGAAAATCTCGCCGGGGCCTTCATGTCCGGCAGGACAACCGAGTTCCTTTGCAAAGCCTTACCCCGCGGCAGCACAAATACGTCTTCTTTGGGCGTAGACTCGGTGAGTGCCTCGCTGCTCATACTGATGGGCGTATGGGCTGCATCATCGGTCGTGAGCATGAACGAAGCATGACTATCAGATGATGCTTGCCGTGCTGGTGGATCCAGACTTGGTGTCCCAGCTCTGCTGAGTGGTCTAGAGAAATTGAACGACGGGCGCGGCAAAGCAGAAATATCCGAGCTGATGGAAGGTGATCGCTGGTATGGGGCAAACCCAGGCGACAAAACACCGCTGCTGGTAGAAAACTTGCGAGACCCCTGAGAGTGAAATGATGTGCTCATCGGGGTGCTGAATCCTTCATCGTCGGCCGAACTGTCATGAGAGGACATCAAACTCGAAGAGCGCTTAGTGAATAGAGGCCGAGGAGGAACAAGTCCCCCGGCTTCATGGGAGGTTGTCTTGGATATTCTTTCGGGGGAGCTAGTAATCGAGCGAGTAGGTGTCGATGCTGGGAGAGGTATACTCTCCTGCGTTACCGTCCTCGTCAGTTGGGCAGGGGGAGCAGCAGTATCCATTGGGCCTGGTGAATGTTCCCTTCGAGCTCCGACCCCGAACAAGCTCTCGCGGTCCTGTTCCTGCTCCTGATCTGCCTCCTTCTGTGAGTCAAAGGTCGGCGGCAGTTTTGGTACCGGGACATTCTGCTCAGGCGTAGGTGGTATATGGCTCATTCGGGGATGCACTGATACAGGCCGGTTGTTGATATCAGTTTCCACCTCTGGTCTAAATCCAGAGCCTGCGCTGTGCTGCGCAGCGAATTCTTCCTCGGAAGCAGAATCGTGGGACATGGATCGAAAATACTCCGACCTTCCCTGCATGATCAACGGGCTTTCAGTAGTCAACGGTGGCAGTCGACTCATGCGTCGCCCAGACTTTTGACTTTCCTGCAGCTGCTTTGCCAGCAGACGGCTTTGTAGCGCGAAGGCATCGAGAGGTGATAGTTCCGGCGGTGCTTCGCCCGCAACATGGAGACGAGGGGATCGTAGCGGGCGTCCAACGGAAGCGGAGGATTTCGACCTCACGTCGATAAAGTCAGGTCGGTTCGCCATGGTGCCGTTCGCGATGCAAAATATTTCCTACGATGATTCATACGTTGTTGTAGTGTTTGCTTCGAAATATCTGCTGGGTCGATGCGTGGCGGTCCAGTGAGGGGGTTCCTCCTCAACCGCAACCCTCCGCTGATACCTGGGGTTTGAAGATCGGTCCTGGGCAAGACGTCAGGGGCAACAGCGTCGACGGAATACCGAAACGTCGAGCTAAAGGCGCATAAAATATGAGGTCAACTCTGGCCGACTCAGACCACCCAACCGGCAAACGAAGTGTGGCGTGCGACTCGAACCATGCGGGATCGACCTAAAAGATGCGCGAGTATTTGGTGGCTTGGAGAAGGGTGAACCGCGATCGGGAAGATTGTCGGCTCGCGTAAAAAGAGGCAGCGTCAAATGTAAAGATGCGGGTGAGCCAGTGGTAACTCGAGGTGCTGATGCCTCTCTCGAAACAACATCAAGATTTTTGAGGGGTGCGGCGGGTGAGGGCTGTCGTTTCAAGGTCCAAGCCGGTATCGTCGCGGGGATGGGCGGCGCATTCAGAGACAGGAACTGCGGGCGGGTGAGCAGCCGATAAAAGAGCCACACAGGTTGTGGTAAGTAAGGTAGTAAGGTGGTAGAAAAGGAGAAAAAGCAACGGGCAAGTCACGAATGGCGGCAACGAACGGACGGGGTAGAACGAGCGTGAGAATTGGAAACGAGAGTAGGTAAGGTAGGTAGGCGGCAAATAGATAGGTCAGATCGTTCGTCCTGGGGTCTCACAACACCACAAGTTGGAGGAGGATGATTGTGAGAACAGAAAGAAGCGTCACGTTGCGTTCGCAGGCCAGGCCGAGGAAGGGGGATGGCCAGGGGAATGAACGGGGAAGCGGGTCCCTAACGGAAAGCCAACCTGCGAAGCCAGCGCCCACATGAATTTGCTTCTGGCCCCCATGCCATTTTGGGAAAAGCGTGTGCAAATGGTTCCAATTATGGCTGGGCTAGCACTGAAGCAGCTAGACGGTGTGCGGGTGTCCCTGGGCTCAGACGGCAACAGCGTAACGGTGCTGCGGTGCGATAGCGCCCAGGGCACTCCCTAGGTGGCCCAAGAGAGAGCAAAAACCATGGGGTGCAGACTGCGCTTTTCCCCTTTCCTAGAACTAATATTTGTCCTCAAGAGACCACAATGCATGCCCCTTCCAACTACAAAGCCCCTCACCGGTCTGTCCGTAGAGGTTGCGCCATGGAGGCGTCACACAAAGACTCCGCCTCGACGTGAGTGCCGAACCTGAATATGCAGTTGGCCATCAGTTGCAACGACGTCAACGGGTCATCTATGGATCTGTGTTGAAGGCAAGACGTAACGCGGTGCTACTTTCCAGACTCTAAGAATACCCCGAGACCCAGAGGCCCCTCCGCGGATATTGCACCGAATTTCATGTTCATCTGAACGGCCCCCCGGATTGCCATTTGAGACGAATTGCATTGGATCCGTTTGGGGCCGCGACGGTCGGTGCCGCAGGATCTGGACCCTTTGCATGCAATGCACCACGAAGGCACAAGCAGGGTCTGCGCCTGCTCTCGTGCCACAAAACATGTCGGGATCGCAGATTCAAACTCTGAATCCATCTCTACCTTATCATCTCTTCTCTCACTAGAAGCTCAACAATTCCTTCCATGACAAGGCCTCCTCCAGGGGCCGTGGAAAACAAATTGTAGATCCATCGATCACTTTGACAAGCTTTTTCGAACAGGACTTCCACGGCTTGCCGAGATGGTCTGGGTCCGCCCGGGGCTCGTTCCGTGGGTCTTGATCCGAGCTAGCGTCCAATGATTTATTCCATTGAAATTCTTGAGAGTCTGGCCCTCTGCATCTCTCGCTGCATATGCCAATGTGGTGTTAGCTACGCAGTATTATTGTTGATTATTCTTGCGTCTTCCGAAAGACGGTGGCATCCCAAACACAAGAAAAACTGCTGAGCCCGGCTCCTGCAGTCGAACTAATAATCAGATGGCACAGAGGGTGGGCAAAGAGGAAAACCTCGAATTGCGTGTGGTCCACACCAAAAATTACCTAATAAGGACGAGACACCCCTGACCAACCAATCATATATCCATCCCACCCTGACGTCTCAAGAGTTGAGTTCACGGAGACCTCACCTAACCTGGAAACAGGAACCTCCCTTCCAGTTCCTTGGATCTTGTACATAAAAAACAGAAAGAAGAGTATTATCTGAACAGGGATTCTCCACGATCACCAGTTACACATCAACCTCGCACCGCAGCAGTTCACAGCAGGTACACCGGCCGGCCGCCCAAAAAGCGACCGACAGCGATTCCGTGACCTGCGACCTGCATGCATAAGTGCGAATCGAGACTTGGGAAATGCGGCAAGTCATTTGGTGGCTTTTGAGAAGAACCGTTCGTCGTGAATCATCTGGGCAATGGGGGTATTGACCAATGAGGTACGCCCGTCTCTTTTTTGATATATGCCTCGAAACATCAAGTCAAGCATATGCCAACTACAACTTGGTTGACTACCTTCACCATATTCCCCCTTCGTATAGCCCAACTCCGAACCCACTAACAGCAACACGGACACAACCCGTTTCTCCAGAGTGGAAGTTTCACGCCACATCCGTGTTCACCTTGCTTCTCGAGTCAAGCCCACCTGTCTGTCCCACGCGACCGGTCGCCATCTCCCCCCCTCATCTCTTGCCTCCTCCCTTTTTTTTTCTGATATGTCTCTCTTTCAGCCTCTTGATCGTGGCAATTGTAACAATTAAACAGAACAATGACACGAAAAATCCAGCTCGGTCAGCTCGGGAACCGGTGACATCAGAGATACGCGACGGTGAGTGTTGCGGGGACTGTAGAGTTCTGGGGGGAAGTTGGTAATCAAGAGAAAGGTGTGCAGATTCAAGTTCCATGACGAGCGTATGTTTTGAAGGCCAACAATAGCCAGACCCAGAAGCTGTTCACTCAGGTGTATCATGTTCCAATAAGACCATGCTCGCACCAACTGGTGTGCGTAGCGGGACAAGGAACGAGCAACAAAGTTATGCATATATTCAAAAATACAACAATTCTGCTATCTTGGTTTGTTGACCCAGTACCCACACACAATCTTGGAGAAAACACTTCTCAAGGCGTCACCACAAGCACAGCGACGCACCGCGACACCTCGAATATCACATCCTCGGGTCCACCGTTAACCCAGCTGTCTCTTTCTGAGATCCTCGTGAACAAAATTTCCCCGATGAGTGGACCGTAGCTGTCTGCCTCCATGTAGGTATGCTCGCAGTCATAAAAGACAGCACCCTTCGCCCAGCCGCCAGTTTCGTATGTGCAATCCGGCCATGAAGGTGAGTTTCGGCCACCTCGGCGGCGATACTGGGCACCACCACGCCCACTGTCAATGAGCCAGATAGACGGGTGTTCGTCCGTTTCATCGTTGCCGTTGGTGATATACTTGTCGACGACCAACTTGTGGCAATAGTCGATGGCCCGGAACAGAAAATCTCGGGGCGACCCATCCGCTGGTTTACCAACCATGGCGTCAAGGATTGGAAACTGGTCGCCCTGCACGCATATGTCATTCCAGGCCGGATCAACCTCGATCGTGATGTTGCTCGGCCACAGCCCATATCCTCCGTACACTTGTGGGAAAAAGCTAGAAGGGCATACTAGACGTTCCATGAACTCGATCCCCTCCGAGTCCCCAAGCCAAAAATCGTCGAAAAGAAGAGCCGTCGACTGGACATCGAGCCAAAACAGATCCCTTAGCGCAATGACTAAAAGGGGGGCCGTCTCCGTTACGGCCGAGCTGGGGAGATTTCGTTGGTAGTGGGTGATTGGTGACGCTGATGTGTAAACATAATGACTCACGTACACTTCCTTTACCAGCTCAGAGGCACTCTCTAGGTCATAGCCGTCATTTTCTTGTAGCCGTATATCCTCCAACATATCGGTTTCGACTCGAGTTCTCCACTCCTACAGCGCAACACGCTTCGACTCGGCACATGCCTCCCATAAACCGGCGTCCTAGATGTATGCCGAGCTATTGTTTCCATCCCACGAGTAGGTTTTTGCCTGAGAATCTGTTCCAGTGATGTCTTGGGGAGCGCAAATCTTGTATAGTTGCTCTCTATTAGTCTCGCGGGTGGTGACACGTGGGTCGTGGTATATCAAGTCGCAGGTTCTGTGAAGCGTCTCGGGGACGGCCCCCACGTCGTAGATAGGAAATCGATGCGCGGCCGGGACCTTTGGCCGGATGGCCATCTTCCATACCATCTGACGCAGTTCCTGGGGAAGACAAGGAAGGCGATGAAAAGTTGTAAGTTGGTGAGGTGAGGCTGACATATCGTTGTGTGTTTCTTGGTCGGCGGATGGCTAAGATCTGCAGGCTCGGCTTTTTCGAGGTGCCTTTATCGCTCAACCACTGGTCCGAGGTCTTGCTTTTGTCATCCCCTTTTGTATTGTCACCTTCTTTCGTATGTTTGCGTTGCTCTTTCTCGTGGGCAGAATACATCCACAGAGGGAGAACCGAGTCCAGCTCATCCGAGTATGCCGTCCAGTGTCCGGCTTTCCATGAAAGACGAAAGTAAACAGGCTCACCGCTGACAGTAAGTGACCACCACATGTCTCCTGAATCTATGGGCCCATGACTGAAAAGGGTGTCCATTGTAAATTCGATGGCTCGCGTGAGTGAAATTGCTTCCGCTGACGCAACCCCAGCCCAACCAGCAAGTTTACCAAGCTCTCTCCGAATGCGCATAAGTCTTTGAGGCCTCGACTCGGACTTGTGCTCATCAGGATCCATTTTCACGTTGTTGCGGTTCTGGACGGCCGCGACTCTCCAGTCCCAAGAATCATCACCCTTTGCCCATGGTCTCGAAGACTCATCCAACTGGCCACAGTCTTCATCGGACTTTGACAAGAACCAAAGGGCAGTCCTGTGCTTTTCGAGAGTCATTACAAGCCAGTCCAATTCGAATCCGGCCGTAAGAGGAACTGCTTCGGGATTCTTGTTGAAATTTCGACGAACCCATGCGACGGGTTCTCCTTCCTTGTCGTCCTTCGGATATTGAAAGTAGTAGGTAGCTACCCCAGCCCAGGCGAGCACACTACTTTGAAAAAATAGTACCCATTGTGGCGACAGATACACGTACCACATGGCCCCAAGTACTCCTTGTTCATTTTGTGGGGGGTCTTTCAGTTCCATTGCCCTCACTTCGAGCATATGGCCTTCCCGCCCCTCTTCCGTTTCTTTTTCATCCTTGGTTTTATCCTCAGGTATGAGAATAATAAACTCTCGAATGGGCCCCTGACCCATAACCCGGACAATCTCTTGGCCATTCCAGAGCTCACGTACCTCATAAGAGGTTGACGACATCAACTCGGCCTCTGGCACCGCGCGGTTCTCCCGAGCTCTTCCGATTACTGATCCGAGCCAGAAGGGGCCACCAACACGAATAGCTGCCACGATGATGGTAATAATGCCCAATGGGGCCATTGCCAAGATGATGCTATCGGCCCAGCCGGTAGCCTGGCTCATGAATTGCATGGTGACTTTCTCACCGAAGAGCGCGAGGATACTATGTGAAAGTTAGATTCACTGGCTGTCTAGGGGAAGCAAGTTGAAGAGGAAGTAAGAGGCAACTCAAACTAGGTGCAACATGGCGTTTTGGGAATTGATGAAGAATAGGTCGATCGTTGAGCTGGAAACGACGTCGTCGTACGCTGAAACGGTTGATGGACTGGTCTCAGTTTGTAGTCATGGGAAGCCACAGCTGAGATTCCCTCCGTTTTCAACTTCCATACCCAGGGGAATGGAAAGAACCAGAAGAACACGAGGAAATTGCACCGAGGAAATGGATTGATGGCTTAAAAAGTTTAACCTACCTTAGCTGGTGGAAGGTGGGAGTTTCAGAGACCTGTGATGTCCTTAACAGGGCTTCCAAAGGCTCAACAAATGGACCAGTCACGGTCCCAAGCCCGATCCTCCAAAGCCAGAAACACGCTCCCTTCTCCTCAACCATTACTTCCGTGACGAACACATCCGGATTGCTCCTTTGATCAAAAGCGACATTGCCCCTTCAACGACGGCCTTGAAAGACAGTTAATAGGTCTTGAGAGATGGTCAGCAGGCCTTCAAAGATAGTCAGTAGGTTGTAAGGGATATTTGAAAGACCTTAACTAATAGTTAACAGGCCTGAAAGGATAGTTAGGACGGCTATTCCTTTTTAAGATGTAAGTTGATGACTGTTATGGCCAAATAAATCAATCACCTCGGAGCATCAAACCGCGGGGAATGTCATCGAGGCCAGGTACGGTCAACAATGGTCTGTTATACAGAATCTAAACAACAACGTCCTACACAACCTCCTTGCACCATTCAATCCACCGCCTTCCTCTTCTTCTCCCTAATTTCCCTTCTCCTTTCCTTCTCATTCTCCTCATTCTCCTCCTCCTCCTCCTCCTCCTCCCTCTCCTCCTCAACACTCCACCTCTCATCCTCCTCCACCTCCAACACCCTCATACACCCCATGACCAACTTCCTCAATCCCCCCGCCTCCCCCCAATCCCCCACATCATCATCCCCCCCCCCCCCCCCTCTTTTCGTTACTTCAAAAACCACCCCCTCATCCGGATCCATCACCTTCCTCAACAACCCCCTATCAATCGCCCCCCCCAACCAAGCCCTCATCAACCCCAACGCCCAAACCTGCCTTTCATACCCCCTCATCTCCCTCTCCCACCTCCCCACCACCCCCTCCGACTCCCTCTTCTCGTGCGGCTCCAGCCTATCCCACCCCAACCTCCTCTCCGTGGGGGTACTCGGCGCCTCCTTCCAAACAATAGTATACCTACTCCCATTCCCCTGCCCCAAAAACCCCCATATACCCCGTTCATCATCCCTCTCAACCCTCTCAATCAGACTCTCTTCCTCCAGCACCGTCAACCGATGCAGAAACACGCCGGGAAAACGCTCCCATATCACGGGGTACTCCGGTTTCTTGAGGATGGTAAGCGAATATGTCTGCCCGCCATCATCATCGTAACAACTCGCAAACTCGGTCTGGTTGTTCATCCTCTCGTCATCCCAAGTCATCTTGTCGGTGTGCCCCGTGAAGAAGTCGGGTGGGTCGAGGAACAAGGGGGCAAGGTTGAGGAGGCAGGCTACGTGGATAAGTGTCTCGTACCATTCGTCTAGCTGGTCGTACGTCTTGAGGATGATTTTCGGGTCGGGGACTGTCAGGGGAGGGTCGGGAGGGGAGTGGGAGTAGGGAGGTGGAGGGGGGGAGGGGGGGGAGGGGTCGTAGGTGATTGGGGTGTGGCAGATGTGGCGGTGAAGGATTTTCAGGTAGCGGAGGACGTTGGAGACGCTCTCGTCTGCTATGACGGTGGGTGCCATGACGGCAAGATGTTGAGGTTGTAGAGGGAGAGGGTTTTGACTCTATCGTTTTGTTCGTTGTTTGTCAGTACTCTGTCATGAAGATTCCGTTGCCAGCGTTGTACATACCTTTGGGAGAGATTGTAGATCCTTCGAAGAGCTGGAATGCTTTCCTCTCGGATATTCTTCGAAAACAACTAATTGGGAATGCCCTCTCGAGGAATGAACGCCCACTCGGGAATGCTCTCTCGGGAATTGTTGAGAGCTTCAGAGGCCCTTCATCAGGGCCGAAGTCCCATCAAAGACTGAATATGCCGTCGTCGTCGTCGCTGAGTTGTCGAGCGATCTTTTGCAGCCTGTCAGGAAAAGAGTTTCGAAGAAACCTACAACAATCAGTCGTGATTCGAAATCGTCGAGCGGAGCCTAGAGACAAACCCCGTACCCCTCGCTCAGTCAGCGGAAATCAGCGGACAGTCTATAGTAACAAGTGAGGTCAATCATCAACAGCTGCGAGGATATGAGCCCTAACATGTCTCGGCGCCGCTTCATATGCCCGAGGGCGACAACCTGTTTCGAAAACCAAGATGAAAGACTTCCAGTATTGATGACATCGCCACTGTGAGGAAGAACCATACCATCTCAAAGCGCAGTTTTCCTTGAAGCGAGCCCGTTATGTAACTAACCTCAACGACCAACGACTAGCACAGAACCGTTCACCCAAAGAACAGACAAGCTCCACGCGAGTCAACCGTTCTCTCACCCCCCAGACCGGTCGAGCATAAAATATTCAAGCGGCAAACAAAGCCGATCTGCACAAGACCAGATCCACGCCAGTCATCACACTAGAGCGTGGCCGACAACACCTGTAAACAAACCAAGTGAACATTCTTTTTCTCCTAAACTCCTCATCATGCATCTAGCAACCACCCAACAAGCAAGCAAATCCTTGGAAACAGACAGAAAAGCAAAAAGAAAGACCGAAAAGCGTATAACCTATATATTTACATCCAATGTGGAAAAAAAAAACCAAGAATGTTTTATAGATCCTTGGACCTCAACTTCTTGAGCTTCATGCCACCCTCAAACAGAGCACGGTCGACAGCAGCGGCCACGGTCAGGGTACCACCGACGATGGCACAGAGACCAGCCAGGAAACCGAGGAACGACTTTGGCCTTTCTTCTCTGTTGATAACCTTCATGGGGGAGATGTCCTGATTTGCGAGTCAGCATTTGTTTACGTCCAGGTCTACTCAAAATGTACTTACATAGGAGAAGAAGACGCCGGGAATACCACCCTTGGCGTGGAGGCGCTCCTTGTGGCCCTCAGAACCATCATCACCACCGGACAAGCTGCGCCTATGGCTGGTAACCGAATACTGGTGAGTCTCAAGGCTGCCATCGGCCGATTGACCAAACGAACCCAGCTCCTTGTGGTGCTGGTCCTTGAACCCCTGCCATGTCTTCTCCCAGCCGAGAGGAAGATAAGAGGTGGGCACAATCTTGATGAAGTACATGAAGTTGTAGTTGACATCATCGGTCTCCTGGTGAGTGTTGTCAAGGGGGTTGACGTGGTGGTTGGTCCATGGTAGAGCCTTATTCTTGCCAAGCTTCTTCGCCAGACCATCAGGAAGCTGCGGGCCGAAGCGCAGATGATGGATCTCGTGGGTGAAGGTGTGCTTAACAGGCGTGTCCCAATAGTTCTTGAGGTCGTGGACGTGCATGTTTCCGTTGCTGAAACTCTTGCCAGGGGCAATGTGGAAGTTGCCAATGACCTTGTTCACACGAACGTTACCCTCGATGCGACAGCCCTCATTGCGCTGCTCGTCGAGCTTCTCAGCGTAGTGTTCGCGCTCGCACTGCTCGATACCCTCGCCCCTACCGAAAGCCCAAGCCTGAGCGGCATACGCCTCCTTGACCTCGTCGCATGTTTGGCAGCAGTTGGGCTTTTGCGCGTGGACAGGGGGAGCAGCGCCATAGCAGGGACCGCAGTAGTTGGGATCGAGGTGGGCAGCTTCTTCGTCGCGAGCATGGAGAGCCAGAGCCTTGGCTTCGATAACACCGCCACCCTCGCTGAGAGGACGCAGTCTAGTCTTGACGACACCGTGTTGGACGCCGTGTTGTTGCTCGCCGGATACATCCATGACATCGAGGGTCAGCAGCTCGCAGGGCACTCGTGGGAAGCTGACGTTGAGGTGAATCTCCATGCGCTCGCCTGTTCAGCCTTCTGGTTAGTTGCCATCTATCTTCAAGTCCTGCAGTTCTGTAAAAAGAGCGCACCTCTCCCCTTGTCAACAATCAGCTCGGGATGGATCTCTATCCTCCTGTAGTCCTGCCATTCTCCCCAAGCCAGGAAGAACACCACAATCAACGAGACGATGGTAACGATACCACCCGACGTCGTCCTGATTCGCGCATCCTCCACCGTCTTTGTAAAAGCATCGAGCTTTGTGAATCTCGATTTCGCAGCCATCTTGCCTATTTGTTCGTCGTCGTTTGTTGGACCAGTCTCAGGTGTAAGGTCGAAGGTTCCACACTCGCGGGGCGTGTGCTTTTTTAGGATTGGAATGTGTCTTGTCAGAAAATGGGGACCTGCTGCTTGGCTCAGAATCAACGGAGCGGCATCAATTGAAGAGCGGGATCATCAGCAGAGTTCCCACCACGAAGCAGTGAATCGTTTGCTGGCAACTTTGCAGTTGAGATGAAACCAAAGTGCATCAGCCTCGTCCAGCACCGCGCCGGAGACAGCTAACAAAAAGTTAAGGCCACCTTACAATCGATATCCACATATCAGCTTCAGGTCCCGGCCAGCTCCAACGCGGGCGTCGGCTGTGATTGGTCCCCAGGTTCAATTGGGGGTTCAGGCTAGGTAGCCGGACCCTCCGCAGCGGGGCACCGAACGGCGCCAGGAACATGAACGAGCATCTTGGCTTGCCCGAGATCACTGATAAGATAACGCTTCGATCTGTTGGATATATGAAGCGAGGTTGTCGAGCATTCGAGTCTGTGGTCTCTATGCAAGCTTTACAGTCTTAATAGGGTGACCGCTAATCTGCTTTAGAACTTAGACTGCCGGTAGATATGTCGTCCCTGCATCTGCAACTACACATGCAGCTGAGATCAAGCTCCTTCCTCCCCCTGGCAGCTATCCCAAGCAGTTTGAAATGCAAGTTTGACTGACAACTGCAGCTTCCCCGTTTGCTCAACGCAGCAAGGCTGAGGACATGTGAATTGTTTCCGCCAGACAAGCAAAAGTTCTCTACACCGGCGTGACTCACCTTCTTGACCATATCATAAGCCCCAGCTGCCACTCCTCTCATCAACTGTCTCTTTCCTCTTCACATCCAAAAACAACAACATCATGTCCACCTCCCAAAAGACTCCGGTTCTGAGGCTCCCATCGACCCCTCCACCACCAATCCTGACCCTCACCCCCAAAACCCACACAACCATCGAGATTCGCCCCTTCCATATTTTCGATGCCCGCCCTGTCGCCCGCATAGCCAACAGGCCCCGCATCGCCTCTTGCATGCGGAATACATTCCCGTACCCCTACACATCCAAAGATGCCAATCACTGGCTTCTCATCGCTACCAGATCTTATTCAGATCCGGAAACTAAACCGACCAAATCCGGCAAACCTCTTCTCTTGGACTACGCCATCATCGTCAATGGCGTACTCGTCGGCGATATCGGCCTCAAGCCTCTCTGGGATGTCGAATCCGACACTTTTGAGATCGGGTACTGGCTAGGAGAAGAGTTCTGGGGCGTGGGGATCATGACGGCGGTCTTGAAGGAGTTTATCGCTTGGGTTTGGGAGCAGTTTCCGACTGTTAGGAGGTTAGAGGCCATGGTGTTTGACTTCAACGAAGGTAGTAAGAAGGTGTTGAGCAGGGTTGGGTTCGTTCAAGAGGGTGTGAAACGGGAGGCGGTGAGGAAGGGTGATAAGATACATGATATGGTTGTTTTTGGGCTGTTGAGGCGGGAGTGGACTACACAGGTGCTTAGTGTCTCGGCAGAGCCATGAGGTGAAATAATATATGGGTTGAGCAAATCTTCGTTGTGGTTCATGGTAGGAACATACAAGATGTACTAACACCTGGTTTCATGTGATTACTATGTCCAACCCACCTAGATACATATATGCCTCTCCCTCAGCTAGATCAGCAACAAGAGAAAAGGTCCGATGGTCAAGCGGTATGGATGAAATCAAG